GGATTTGCTTTTTGTTGGGTTTTTTTGTTGGTATTTGTTTTTCTTGCTTTGTTTTTGTTTGTTTGTTTGTTTGTTTGTTTGTTTTTCGGGGGGTGGTAAGAGTTTTATTGATACAATGTTACTTTGTGAAAACATAATATGTTTGTTTTTGTTTTTTGAGGAAAAAGAAGTGCATGGACACATTAACGGTCTTTCAGCGCTGGGGAAAAGTAAGAGAGACAGACAGAAACAACAGAGGGAAAGAAGAGGAGTGGGATCTACCAGTCAGTGGAAAGATAAAGGGCGGGGCAATCAGAGGAAGACAGAGACCAATACACACGGATGTTCGTTGTAATAAGTGCAACACAAGTAGGTCATATGAGAGCCAAAGATTAAAGGAGTTACAAGAGAGTAACAAACACAAAACTGATGGAAGAAAGATAAGAATGACAGATGTTTTTAGTTTTTGTTTGGGTAGAGGTTTTACGGCGCTCGCAACTGCATAAGATCATATGAGCGCCAGAACATTAGAGGTGTTACAAGAGAGTAACAAACATAAAAAAGAAGAAGGGGAGATAAGGACGACAGCAGATGTTTCATAGGAAAGAAGAAGCAAACCACACCAGAGCACCCGCCAACCACCCACAGACCGAGTTTGATTCCCGAGTGGAGAGATGTTTCATAGGAAAGAAGAAGCAAACCACACCAGAGCACCCGCCAACCACCCAAATTACACAGATTCTGAACAACTTTGTGATTAATAATCCAAGGAGAAAAACAGAGATGATCAGGATGGTAACAACAAGTAAGAGTGGAGCACCATGGTCGGCGGTGTCTGCTCCAACCAAACCAGACACCCGAAGAAGAGTTTTGCAGCACTTGCAACACAATAAGGTCATAAGATAAGTGCTAATGCTTAGAGGTATTATACTAGACAGAAAGAAGGAAAGAAAAGAAGGCGGAGGGTTAATGACGATAGACGTTTGAAAGGAAAGAAGGAGCAAACAACACCAGAGCACCCGTGATGATGATGATGAAGATGATGATGATGATGATGATGATGATGTCAAGAGAATAGTTTTCTAACAACTTCTGACAGTAACAACGGTTATTGTCAATCCAAAACAAAAAAGTGTCAACATACCGTGCCGAAAATAAGTAACTTGGCCCTATATTTGGACGGCACATACTCTGCATTCAGAGAAAATCTGGGGAACAAGCATTAATAGGATGATAGATCTTGTTCAGATGCAGCGCTTTATACCCTCTCTGTATTAACAATCAATTCAAACTAAACTGCTATTCATGTGGGCCCTTAGCCTGAATTAGAAATTACATTGTATGCTCATTTGTAAGGTACATGACTCTTGACATGACAGGAAGGAACATGATATATGGGTTGTGTCCCTTGGAACTTTCAGTTGTTTTGGGGAAGTTTTTAGGGGGTCTTTGTTTTGTTTTGTGTTTGTTTGTTTGCTTGTTTTGGTGTTTGCTTGTTAGGGGGTATGGTTGTTGTTGTTGTTTTGTTTGTTATTGTTATCCAAGAGGTTTCCCTCGACGACTTATGCGACAACTGCTGTTTGTTTCATTCTCCTGTCGTCATTTTGTCTGAGTACGAGTCTTTTGTTTTAGTAACAGTTTGACTTCCCTTGTAACATGAATAGGTCGTAAAATAAGAAGAATACTTCGTCCATCAATGTCTCACTACGAGCAGTGCATCCTCACAGACGGGTATTTTTTTAAGCGAAATAATTTTTTAAGGATTCACATGACTTGTGGCTTCTGCTTATGGCCAAGGAGACCAATTCTAGGGCTTTTTTTAATGGATTTCAGTATTTCTAATTCGTGAAGTTTCAAATTTTGATTATGTTATTTTGGACTGTTTAAGACAAATAGTGAACTTCCGAGCCATCTGTAGACAAGTACTGGAATTCAGACAGTAAAATCTTTTTCGGAGATTCCTTTATTGTTATCCTTTTACTTCCTGCTCATTAGACCAAATGATATATTAAGGCGGGGCGGGTGTGGGAGGGCTACACCTGAAGGCTATTTCGCTTATTAGTAGATCAAATTTTACCAAATTTCACACATATAATAAGCACAGTACGGAGTCTAACAATCGCAAACAAATTTGAGAAAAAAAAAGTTTCGTTTCCCTGGATACGGCGGCCATATTGGATTTTGTTGTCATGTCTTGCGTAATTAACACCGTTTTTATGTAAATATATTGTTGTTGTTGTCTTGTTGTTGTTGTTTTTTTGCATGCATCTTAGCAAACAATAGATCTACAAATTTGTGTAATGAATGTTTTCCTAAACGTACTGGAAATTTTTTAATGAATTTTTTCCTGAGGTAGTATTCACGTTTGCAAAAGATCCGTGAAAATCCGCACTCCAGATACCACCAACAAAAAATACTAGAGCTGGGCAAAGAATCCATTCCGGAACCGATTCCCACGATTAATGCCACAGGAAAAAAAGTACCGACTCCTTTTTATGAAAACCAAAGGATCTTCTTCTTTTTTTTGTAAGAATTCAAGTTTGAAAAATAAAAGTTGATACTTCTTAGTGTTCCGAAATCAATGTTATCCTAAATCCTGAGGATGTTCGGAGCCAATTAGGTAACCACCGGAAGAAATCACATCGTTACAAAGTGAGTAACTGGATTCGGAGTCGATTCCTACGATTCCTAGCTTTCAACAATCGGGAACCAAACCGCCCAGCACTAAAAAATACACCAAAAATTTAACACAGGTATTATTTTTATTACATCTTCTCTTCATTCTGTGAAAATGTCATAAAGATTGGATGAAGTTTGGAGTTATTCAAAAAAGTATATAGAAAAACCACGTTTCGAGAAAACGGGCGATAACAAAAATAAAAGACTCACTTTATGAAGAAATTGAGGTGACAAGCATGCCAGGTAAGGAAAGAAATAAGGCTTTAGGGGGTTCCTATGTGATGAAATAGTAGTAAGAGAGGCTGAAAAAGCTAAAAATGCCTAAAACTTAAAATCCATAGTAAAATCGGGACTTTTGGGGTGTAGCCCCCCCCC